TAAAATCTGAATGTATCCCTCATTTCTCCTCTTTCTTTACTATCCTCCTGTCACACCACACACTCTCTCTCACCTTCAGCTCTTTCTTTGTCTTTCTTTCTTTCTCTCTATAACTATCTGTCACTTTCAACCCTCTTAACTTTCACTTATCATCCTTTCTCACTGATCAATCTCTCTCTCTCTTTCTCTCTCTCTCTCTCATACTGTCTCTCTATCTCTGTGTGTATTACTGTCGACCCTCTCACTGTCATTTTATCATACTCTCTTGTTTATCACCGTCTCTCTGTTGTTTTTTTCTCTCTGTGTGACTGTCAACCCTCTTACTATGACTTCATCATTCTTTCTCATTCATCACTCTGTCTGGTCTGGTCTGCCTGTCTTTCTGTCTATCTGTCTCTCTTTCTTTCACATTTGCAACCTTATCACTATCACTGCATCACACACACAACTTTCACTCTCATCTCCCTCACTTTCACACACACACACACACTCTTAGTTGTCTGTCTCTCCGGACCCCTCTCTTGATGTTTCTCTCTCTCTTTTCCATAGTGAACCCTCTCACGATCACTTTTTCACACACACTCCCACTTTCACTGTAATTTCTCTCTCACTCTTACACAATCTTCTCTCTGTCATTCTGTCACACACTCAATTCCAATTCTTTCTCACCCCACCCCTGTCTTTTCCTATTACTCTGTCACACACACAGAAAAACACCCATTCTCTCTCTCTCTCTCTCTCTCTCTTTCTCTCTCTCTCTCTCTCTCTCTCTCTTTCTCTCTCGCTCTTTCTCTCTCTCACACACACACGCACGCACGCCAAACACCGTTATCATTGTTTCTCTGTCTCACCTTCACTCCGACCACTCATTTATCTTGTTTTTGACCCACTTTCACTCTTATGACATCTTTATTTGGCCATAAAATATTTTACGGTTGCCGCGAAGATGTCATTGTTAACGCGCCCGTCTGCTATCGAGGCGGCTCTGTCCTGTGTCAAGTGGGTTAGTGCCATTGTTGACATTTTTTTGGGGCTGCCGTTGCATCTACTAGTACAACCACCACTCCCACTGCTGATACTACTACTGCTGCAACAACTGCTGCTGCCGCCGCTACTACTGCTGCTGCTGCCGCCACTACAACTGCTGCTGCTGCCGCCACTACAACTGCTCCTACCACTACTCCTTCTACTGCTCCAGCTGCTGCTACTACTACTACTCCTGCTGCTGCTGCTCCTACTACTGCTCCAGCTGCAGCTGCTGCTACGGCTACTACTCCTGCTCCTACTACTGCTCCAGCTGCTGCTGCCGCTACTGCTACTACTCCTGCTGCTACTACTGCTCCAGCTGCTGCTGCCGCTACTGCTACTACTCCTGCTGTTACTACTGCTCCTGCTGCTACTGCTATTACTCCTGCTGCTACTACTGCTCCTGCTGCTACTGCTACTACTCCTGCTTCACACAAACAGTATATTACACAAATGTATAAAGCAGGACACAAACGAATCATTTTAATCGAAACGTGCAAATCACGCCATCATACCCCCCGTTTCGATTCCGAGGTCCCATTGTGGGGAAAACATGAATAGACCCACTGCCTCCCCAAAAGCATGTCGTAAGAGTCGACTAATTGGGGAGCTTCCTTTGAAGTCGGAGTGCAGCTGCCGGAGAGACAAGGAACCAACAGTCTGTTTTTAAAAGAATGAGATCTGTAAAACTGATGCACACGCAACACTCAGGTTCTGGAGCAGGACTGCAGTTCAGTAATGGACGAGCAACGAGAACCTTTCGCCAGATTTTACAGCTGTTGAATGCGAAGAAGAAGAAGAAATTATCATTGTCAATCAGCAGGTCCTTTAAAGAACGTTAGCTCTCTTTACAGCACGCATGAAAATATCTTTCTCTAGCCAGTTCTCCAGCCCTATGTGCTTTCATATTCAAGGCATTTTCAGTGTCTTATAGCCACATTCTCTTAGGTCGGTCTCAACCTCATTTTCCAGAAACTGCACCTTCCATCACCGTGCTCTCCAGATTACCGTGGCGTTTAATATGGTCAACATCTCAGCTTTTAGGGGAAGGATGCTGTTAATGAGCCAGTTCTCCTCAATACAAATCACATAATCTTTATTAAAAACTGCACACCTCACCTCGGAAGTCGAAGCCTGATGATGCGATTGTTTTGTTTACATCCCGCTACGGCTGCCCATTCCAATTCCAAATACTTCTGCACATTTTAAAAGGCATTCCTTCCTTGAGAGACCTCAAAAGCACAATCCATTTTACTGTCACATACCGCTCCTGTCACGTGCCTGATTTAAGGATTTCTCCTTAAGAACCAACAGCACTCTGAAATAATAATGTTGAGTCGTTGGCTCGTATTGGTCTAAGGGATATCCCGTGGCCAATATACGCTCAACTTATTTCAGGAGTAGGGCAACTCAAGCTTTGGCACTACAAAATATATATTATCCCTAGGCACACTTGGCTGGACACCCCCACTACTATAACAAGGTAGACCCCAGGTTATGATAGTATACTATCATAGCCATGTTAACACAGATAACCTTATTACTCACACAAACATAAAAAACTAGACAGTTAGAATGGTGAAACAGGAACACCCAAGTCAGCCATGACAATTGCTGCATGTAATAAGTACAATACATATACATATATTAAGGAATAGATCATCAAGAATGTTAAGTGAATGGAGTTCATGAATCAATGAAACATCCCAGATGTTGAAGCAGCCAGATGTAGTTCTTGGATATTACATGAGTTTATCATAGGATTTACATGGAGCTGTGGGAAGAGAGCATGTATATGAATAAGAGATCACTTATCCCAGTTCGTAGGTCAATGCTCCCCTCAGTCCATGGTGATTCGACTTTTGTTGACTCAATAGGTAGCTATGCCTCGATTTGATCTGGTACAAGCTGACTGTCTCACAAGTGAGGACACAGGAACTGCATAGGAGCCCAACAAAGCTCTTGAAGACTGTGGTGCCCACTGACTGTCTCACAGGTGAGGACACAGGAACTGTATAAGAGCCCAACAAAGCTCTTGAAGACTGATTCTCTGGATTGATGACATAAGTGTCTGCAATTGTCCACCAGTCCTGGAACTCACAAACAAGCTTTTGCCATGTTGAGGTAGTGGCAACAATAGGTAGGACTTTTGGGTATGCTTGGTGCCCAGAATGGTATGGGTTGGTGGTTGTTGGCTGGACTGTGATTTGTCTGCCTGATCTCTAAGGAGGTATTATCCTGTCAGGAAAGAACTCGAATTAGTAATCATCTTTATTCACACACCAGCTCACCCCACACTCTGCTACGCTTCTCCATTCCTCAGAGTGTAACTCTTAAGAACAGGAGACAGTCTCCTTTCATTTATCTGTCTGTAAATTAGTACACCAGATAGAAGACAAGGTATATAGTGGAGATAGATAGACACTACCACACTTAGATCATCCTCTCTCCACCCTCACATCTATACTCGCAGACACACCCTGTACCCCGTTGGTACCTATATATATATATATATATATATATATATATATATATATATATACATATCACGTCTCCACAGGCTGCTACTACACACCAGATATTTCCTTGCCAAACACACCTTTGACTTAGAGCGTCTAGCTCTGACGTCACAGCAGTTAACTGTTAAAAGATTACACAGATTCCATATTTCTGCTAGGAGGCACAAAACTTCGTTTGCCACTCAGAGAATAATTACTTGTAGGGTTTAATATCTTTACAAATGGTGTGGGTTATGTAGAGCACAAACTATTTAGTCTGCACAGGGAAAGGTTTAATGTTCGGAGCCTGATCTCTGGACATCAAGAACGGCCCAACTCTGTGCGGTCACACAGCTGAATCTTCCCTCTCTGCAGCAGTGGCCAACTTTAAAAAGACATATATTACGGTACTCGTAAACTATAATCGACTTACCCAAGCTTAGGAATTCTTCCAAGATAGAACTGGCACTTTATTCATAGACTGTGTACGCGTCTTGACACTTAGGAGACCAGGCCGAGGAATGCCGCTCAAAACTACGCTTGGCGTCTCTAGGAAAGAAGTCCCTGTATTCATGCCCAAGGAGTAAACAGGCTTACAGGAATTTCTGAATTAAACACCATAAATCTTCAGCCCGCAGTTGCAAGTTTGAAAATGAAGATTTCTCAAAGCAACTACAGGGTCTAGAAATGAATATTTCACCAGATAAAGGTATATATCAATATAAGGAACTATATACCCCTCCGGACGGGTTTACGTTTGAAATATGACGTGCCCGCCAGGGAAGTCAGCGTCACGACTCGTTCATTGTGTAGGGTTGGCTGTTCACTCCACGACAATTACTCAGGTGTCCAGCGAGTGACATCATATGAAAGACTCAAGACTCATTTCTATTGGTTGATCTCAACTCGTTTGCTGAATCTGCACTACTCATTTGCATGCGGATTCAAGGGGCCAATTTGGCGGGAAAAAAAAGAATATACCCACTGCCTTCAACAAACCATGTTATAAAAAAATATTCTGATATTCGGGGTTTGCTGTGTGGAACGAAAGGTGCAGATATCGCAGCCTAGCTGTAAACCACAACACTATTTGCCAACCACCCCTTTAAGGGCAGTCAGAAAAAACGAAGATTTCTTCCCGAAGACACAGTATATAAATTGTAACACACCTGACGACATATGCCAGGCAATACAGGAATCGCTCTGTTGCATCCGTGCCTATTCCCCACCCCCTCTTGTTCCCCCCTTTTCGAAATTGACATAGTCACTCAGGTCTAGATAGACAGATAGATGGATGGACGGACAGACAGACGGACGGACGGACCGACCGACCGACAGGCAGGCAGGCAGGCAGGCAGGCAGGCAGACAGACAGACAGACAGACAGCGAGCGAGCGAGCCATGTTGGATAAAATTCGCTGCAGTGAAGTGGACCCTCCCAACGTTAACCTTTGACCGTGTTATTTCATCAGTCAAGACAGATTGAACCGTTATCTGTTTCAGACACTTACGATAAGTTCAAGAAAAAGAAGCTGAAAGCAAAATCCTTGTTTCCAGTGACATCATCTGCTCTCAACCACAGCAAGGCTGTACTACATGAGGATATTCTTGACTTGAGTCGGATCCTAGCAGGTAAGTGGTCAATGTGTTGTTGGTGTCTTTGTTGTTGTGCCTTATTTGACATCTCTTTTGCAATCTGCCTGCGTATGTGAGAATGAAAATGTGGGGGGGGGGGGGGGGGGCGAAAGAGATAAAGTGAAAAGCGGGTGAGAGAAACAAATGTGAGAAAGGTAGAAAGAGAAATAGTGAGAAAGAAAAAGACAGAAAAGAGAACGAGAAAGAATACGAGAGAGAGAGAGAGAGAGAGAGAGAGAGAGAGAGAGAGAGAGAATACGAGAGAGAGAGAGTGACACATAGAGAGAGAGAGAGAGGGACACACACACACAGAGAGAGAGAGAGAGAGAGAGAGAGAGAGAGAGAGAGAGAGATGACGAACGAACGTTCGATCGAACTATTTTTCAAAGGGTCGCAAATTGGACACGCAGCCCCGTCTTACACTCGGCCCTTCCAAACACCCGTCTTTCACACTGCATCTGTATTTATCAATAAGCGTGTTATATCTGTTAGATAATATGCATACTATAAATATCAATCTTCGTTTACCTCCGGTGTGCTTCTCCTGCTTGGCTGTACCGATCTTTACTCCCAGTTCGCGTATTCTTCGCAGTGATGTGGACACATTGCTTCCAAAATCCCCAGAACGTCCTATCTCTCTAAGGGCAATGACAATGTTTGTGTGATCCATGGGCCAGCCATCTTCAATTAATGCAGCACCTGCCAGTCTATAAGCTCTTTCATTACCAACAACGTCTGCATACTCTGGGACGAATATAAAGGTTAGCACAGGAGAGTTTTGCAACGACTCAAACCACTTTCTGCGTAACCAGCCTGCCTGGACCCGCAGGATCATGCTCAAAGAATCACTCAGCACACACGCGCAGAAGTAGTCCCGAGTCCGAGGGTTCTCAACACAGTGAACGAACTCTGTAGCACCTTCGAGGATCCTGAAATACTTTGGGTAGATTTATAACTACACATGCCCGGGCAGCGCCGTAAGGCTGCTCTTTTTTATTTCCAACTACCAAGGGACTATTGACTGACTGACTTTCTACCCCACCAGCACATCACACAAGCGACAAACACCCGATGACACAATGTGCCACCTTGCGGGTGAGGATCACCGTGGAAAGGTACCAGAAACCGCGTTCAGCCTTTAGGCCATATTTATGGCCAGGCTATATTTCGGTCCCTTGCAAGAGCCAGAGTAGGGCTTCAAATAACGAAACATTTCGTCCTAAAAGGACGAGAAATATATAAGGGACTATTGACTGACTGACTTTCTACCCCACTAGGACATCACACAAGCGATAAACACCCGATGACACAAAGTGCCACCATGTGGATGAGGATCGCCGCGGAGAGGTCCCAGAAACCGCGTTCAGACAATTGGCCATATTTATGGCCTGCCTATATTGCGGCACCTGGCAAAAGCCAGGGTGGGGCTTCAAATAACAAAAAATATCGTCCTAAAAAGGACGAAACTGGATAGATATTGTTGCTTACTATCAGGGACTATTTACTTCAGCAACAATACGGGCGTCCGATCTAACTACCCAGAGACCAGGACAAATTACTAGAATACCCAAGTGAAATAAATCCAGGGCTTCATTGGGGTCTGAACCCGGGGCCTCTAGGATTTAAGGCACACACCATGCCTCGGGACCGGTGATACCCCCTATGAATAAAGAGAACAAAGAGAACTTGGCACAGCATCTCCCAATAAACTGATGAAGTAGATGTTAAATCTACACCTTTATACACCTTCTGGCGATGTATAGCTTGTGATGGTTATCTTGTGTAAATGAATACTCTTATGTACAAAGATGTCGTTAGGAAAATTTATACCTACCGGATCTTCATTAATCTGCTGTTTTCTCACCTGCCATCCATTGTTATCTCGCTTTTACTGAGATTAATTAAGCTGTACAAATTATCGCCCCTGGCGACAAAAGTCATTTGTCTCCCTTGTTTAGGCTTTGCCTAAAGGTCATCGTGTCATTATTTATCTCTTTTCATTTGATATTATTCTGCCTAGTAGACAACAGCATCTCACATCCATGAATCAAGAATTTATAATAGATCTTCTTTTGCCTTCTTCTTGGCATTCACCGATTGTTGACTATGGCGGAAGTTGCTGGTTGTTTTACAACTTTAGTCTAGTTCTAGAACTTAGGTGTTACGTTTACATCCGTTTTGCAGATCTGGCTTACTTGTATGTATACTGTTAGTTCCTCGCATTTCAGGCAGGTGAACTCCCAACTTTGAAGGAAAAACCCATAGCAGTCGTCTTTTTTTAACTCTTTTTAGGAGCAGAGGGTCTCTACCCCCCCCCCCCCCCCCCGTCATTTGGGCCCCAAACCCCCATAATGAATGTAAAAAAAGTACCTTCTTCTTCGTTCATCCAAGGATGTAAATTTATGTTGTGTGCGTTTACAGTATAAATGTGGCATCTGCTGCTGCTTAGAGGCTAAAACATATGGAGTGACTGGAGTGTTGTTTCTGACAGATAAAGCTCTGCAGTAATATCTGGGTTTTTTTTAAGCCAGTTATTGGGCGGATATTTTTGGCAGATTGTCCGGACATTTCCTTGGCTTTTCACCGTTATGTGGACTGTAGGTTGAAGAACATAGGGGTCATCGAGAATGATTGCCGGGATTTGAAAACCGTTATTACCAAAGTATTTCCTAGTTATACACCCTACGCTTAAAACTGCACTGAAAAGATAAGGAACATTCATCATGTTGACGAGGGTATACCGGCAGCAGTTGCAACTGAAACCTCTGGACATAATTCAGAAGACGTTGACGGAGATTGAATACCAATCATCACTAGAGCTACAACTGACGCCAGTATCGAAGTGTACTAAGGAAGTCTAAAACTATCAACTTTTCTGAACATTCTAAGACGCTACACGTATATACCTATTTAATACTTATTTTATAAGAACGGTTTATGCCCGGATCACTAGCTCACTTGGTTAAACCTGACTGCGACCGGGTGACGAGCTCCTTGTAGTCCGGGTTCACACCCTGGGGGTAGGCAGAAAAAGCCACGTTTCTCCCCGATTTACGGTATCTCTCATGGAATCAAGGCCTAAGGGTTGCAATATCTACAGTACCGAGCCAAAGGGTTAACAACTCATGGTTTCTGGATATAAAAAAAAAAAAAATTAACAAAAATAAGAACTATTTCAACCGGCAATCTTTCTCGATGACCCTGTATTACTGAATGATGTTGCTATTGGTGATATGTGTGATGTTGATGTTGACCCATGCTCCTCAGTGTGGAATTTACTTTCTTATCATATTTATTTATTCCCTCCGTACACATCAGTGCATCCATTCCTACACTTGTTTTCTTTAGAAAACATTCTTTTTCCTTCTAGTAATATTTCAAGAGCCCTTACAGTGTGGCATTCTGTGGCCGTGTTCACGTCTTTCTCATTATCAGGCTGTTGCTTTATCATAACGAAATCCTTTGCCTGGTGTCGTTATCTCAAATTGAAATTTCGCTGTATTTTTGGAAGCTCATCAGACGCAATTAAGCAAGGTAAAACAACGTCTGCCTCTTCGTTCTTCTTTTGTCCTACTGCCTGGGCCGGAAAAGGTCGCAGAGAGGAGTTAGATTAGTGTCCTATCCTTTGCTAGTTGTATAGCTTGTGTGATTGTCCTGTTGCGTTTGTGTAGTGTCTTGTTTTACTTCATCCGTGTACTCTTTCTTGGTTGGCCTCTTGACATGTAGCTTGCTGTTCTCATGTGGTACACTTTTGCTGCTGTCTGATTTTGTTCCATTCGACTAGATGGTCATACCATTTGATTATTTCATGTTCTTTAAGATAAAGAGAAGTAAAGGATTATTTTCTACAGGAAAGAGGGAAAGGGGGGGGGGGGGGGGGGGTCCACTCAAATGGTCCTGACGCTGTTAGAACCCATAAAAAAGTGTGTAGTGTTTACAAGTCTTTAGTGTCTTAACAAGGTATAGTGTCTTATAATTCATAGTGTCTTAACAAGGTATAGTGTCTTATAATTCATATTGTCTTAACAAGGTATAGTGTCTTATAATTCATAGTGTCTTAACAAGGTATAGTGTCTTATAATTCAAAGTGTCTTAACAAGGTATAGTGTCTTATAATTCATAGTGTCTTAACAAGGTATAGTGTCTTATAATTCATAGTGTCTTAACAAGGTATAGTGTCTTATAATTCATAGTGTCTTAACAAGGTATAGTGTCTTATAATTCATAGTGTCTTAACAAGGTATAGTGTCTTATCATTCACAGTCTCTTAACAATGCATAGTTTCTAATAACGTTTAATGTTGTGAAACATTGTGTCTTATAGTTTTTAATGTTGTGTTTTGTATAATAGACTAATCTTACAGTGCGTAGTGGCTTATAGTACACAGCTGTCTTACATAATGTCTTACAGCACGGACTGTCTTATAATACAGGGCCATTTTCCATGCCTTTAGACCTATTGGACATTTAGGGCTAGACACATTTTGTAATCCGTACTTGGTGGGTGATGTGGTCAGCATCATGCCGGTCCCCTTGACTACACAGAAGTGTTTTATAATACTTTATGTCTTATAGTACAGTACAGTCTTATAACCTACTTGTTTTATAGTCCATAGTATCTGACTCAGTGTCTTAAAGAGCACAACGTTTTCTGGTAGCCAGTTTATTATAGTGTCTTAGTGTGTCTAGCGCAGAATAAAAGCAGGTGTAATTAAGTGGCGATAACGAGCAGCTTGTGGTATCTGTGATGCTTAGGAGCGCAGGCAACAAGTGCTCCTTCAGTGGCGCATGTTGTGGTTGTGTGTGCTCCAGGTAGGCAGAGTCTTTAAGTGCTTGATTGTCTGATGGGTGTAAGTGGTCGGGCTGAATCACTGCGACCTACACAAGTTTCACGTCTTGTTTATGTTGTTGCAGATCTTGTTCTTTATGTTCTGCTGCTGCGTGTTGTTGTTCTCTTTCTTCTGCTAGTTGTTGTTGTTGTTGTTGTTGTTGTTGTTG